AATTTACATTCTCTAAGAGGTTTTCTGTAAATGATAAATTACTTTCACAGAATAATTACTTCAAAACTTATTGTGTTATACAAGGAAAACCATTTTAAAAGCATAGTCTTACAAGATCCAGAGCCTTCAGTTCACAATACAGAAATGAAAAGGATACTAACCCAACTTACTATCTTTAATGCAATTCCGTATTACAAGAATATCACGGTTACTTTCTATTCCTTTTTAGAATCATAGTATTCTTCTAGTTCAAAAGCAGTTACATCAATTCTCTTTCTATGAGAGCTCTGAGAGTTTTCCTTCCATATCAAATACTGTTAGCATTTATCCCTAGAATCTACACATGTAAAAACAACCAGCTGTAGAAATCACTAGCTTGTTAAGAAGCACTGGTCGGGGAGTCTGCTGTCTTCAAATCTGCCGTGCTCGCAGAAAGCGACCAGGCAGAAATCCCAATGCTAGCCTTTTTCCCTTGCAGATTCCTGGGGTAACCACTGCAGACCTCACTCAAAGATCAGACAATACTTGGGGAGGTTCTGTGCAGCCCAGTTGTGGGGGGGAAAAGAAAAAAACAAAACACAAGCAAGCAAGCCAGCCCAGCAGAGCTCCACAACAAGTAAAGAGCAATTTCCTTTTTAAATAGAAAGGTAAGAATCAACTTACTGGTTCATAGATTAGCCCATCCGCAGAGGCGACCATTGTTTCTGCTAAATCCAGAACATCAGCCCCCACATCTATTTTAAACATGGAGAAAAATATTAAGAATTATACAGAGATCATAAACAAACTAAAAAAGTAACGTTGCAAACCTGTCATGTCAGAGTATCATCAACTGATGTACAGCAACCAGAAACAAGCTTTTCAGATTTGCAGTATTTTCTCACTGACGTTAACACCTTCAGAGATGTTGTACGAACCACAGACACAAGCTCCCTAGGATCTGCTATGCATAAGTATTTTTTCCTGTTTCATAAGCACTGAATCCAAACCAAGACTAGTCAAAACAGACAATAAAATTTTATTTCTTAAATGAAAAAAAAAAATAATCAGAATTTCAGGGTTTTTTATGCTAACGGGAAAATAACTGAAAAAATTAAAATAAATGTTAAAGAGTAAGAAGGGATGACTTGTGAATTAATACTTGTGAGATGAACACAAACTATATGGTACTGATGTACCACACAATTAATGCAAGGTTTAACCTAGCCAGATAAGTGAGTCTTGAAGATTTGCTTGCACTCCTGGTAAAAGTAGTATTCTCTCCCTTTCTCAGTCCAGTACAACCAAATCCAGTCCATACAAATAATGGTTCATTACCTAAATGATGTCAAAAGAACAGTAAGCATTGCCTTTAAATGGGAAGGCATCCATATGTGTTCACCAGGAGGATGAATCACCCTATGGTCCCAGTATTGTTAAACAATAGACCAGGTTAATATTTGCCAAGTTCATAAACACATAAAAGTTGTGATAAATTCCTGCTCCTGAGTTGGGTCTCACAATGAGCTTTTAGAATATTCCAGCTAGAGAGAGACTGGAACAACAGATCCTTTTTTTGCTGACAGACAAAGCAAAGTTCTACAAGATGCGAATGAGATGGCATAGATACTTTCTTCACACCTCCTACCAATTCTTTCAGTGAGTCATATGCCATCAAGATCACTATATACACCATCAGATCAGAAGAAATCTCACTGTTAGAATACTCCGAACAATATCCAACTATATTGCAAGCAAATGAAAAAAGAGCTCTGAAGAGCTTTTAAAGTCTTTCAAAACTTTCACTGATGGAATACTTACATTGACACCTCATGGCAACTGTAATATCAATATTGATTCTTAACTTACTGGAAAGAAAGAAAAAGGCAAAAATCTAGTAAGTAACATTGAATAGAAATATCGATATATATTACTAAAATTCTCAGATTACTTTCAAAAACACAGTCAAATAAGAGCATTTACACCAACAAATATAACCCTAGAGCTGTTTAAAATTCAGGTGAACCAAGGTGAACTTTTAATTATTAAAGCACTGATGACCACTCATAACTTAAGAGATAAAAGCATCAGAGTTTCTTGTTGAATTTTACTATGAAACTCCTAACAGATTTTTTTGAAATATTACTGGCCCAAGAATTTGTCAGATTCTGATTGAGAATATATAGTTTTCAATATTTTACACTTTTTTTTTTCTTCCACACAACTACAACAGCGCAATAAATTACACAGAATGAAGTGGATCAGGACAACATAGGAGTTACAATTCTAAACCTGAGTAAATATTTGAGCACCTTCTTCCTGTTTTGTCCTTAAGACACGACATTGTATTTCCAGTGTCCTAATCAGAATTCCTCAGGACAGTGACACCTGGGATCACGCTGAGAAGTTGCTAAAACCAGTTCCCAGAAAACACTGCCATGTCATAAGGATCGTAGGTTTTGCTAGCACTGCTTCTGGAAAACATTCTTTGCTCAAAAATGCTCCCATATTATACTAGCAAAATGCCTTGTATGTTAAGATCTTTGTCCTGAATGTTTTCATAACAAGAGGAAGTGAGACATAGTTCTTCCCATCAGTGGAAAAAAAAACAACACCCCAAAAAAACTCCATCACATGAAAAGTCTGATCATGTGGCATTCCCCAATACTCTGGGCATTTCCTATTGGTTTTCCTGTTAGTTTCACAAAAGTTATTTAAACTATAACGAATAAATCCCATCACTAGAATCGCATGGTCCTATCACCTCCAGGGAGCTGCTTCTGGGAACTTGGCTGACCGCAAACGAATCACATAAGCAAGGGATCCAACACTGGCTCAACTTGGGATCAGACATGGTCAGCAGACAAGAGAAAAGCAGTTAATGTGTTACCAACCTCCATTGGTTTAAATCGTCACAGAATCGCAGGCTGAGTGATTAGCCCACGATCAGCCCAAAATCTGCAGTAGGATGTCTCCCAAGTCTTAGCCAACAGACTATCCTTCCCGCGCAATAGCTTCACTAGGGAAATAACCTACATTAGCAAAGACCTAAATGTGAAACTCCCATCTGCCTGAATGGATTTACTCTAACTTCAGGTTCTGATGCATCTTCCTTAAATTTCTCACTTTTTTAAATTTTTCATTACAGAAACCTTTCTATTTGTGATGTACAAGACATCCAATTAATAGATGTGATTTTAGCTTGTTACCACAGCAACTAGTCAAACAGCTTTTAAAGTTATTTCCATTCCAGACGCATGATATTTGAAGGTGTTTAAGTGCACACAATCTCCATTAACTTCCCATGGACTCATGGGTGCCTGACCACCTCAGGAAGAAAGGCAAAGGCAGACCAGGCAAGCACATGAAACCAACAGTAAATGTGTCTTCAGCCGATCTCGGAGGCCATAACAGGAGACAAGATCAGTAGCAGCCACCAGTTCCGAATGCTTAAGGTTCACCCCCAGCAGCACCAAGTGTAACGGCAATATACTAACTGTATAAACTAAAGTAAGCGTGGATGGAAGTGTTCAGGGCCAGGCTGGATGGGGCTTAGAGCAACCTGGTCTAGCGAGAGGTGTCCCTGCCCGTGGTAGGGGGGTTGGAACTAGATGATCTTTAAGGTCCCATCCAACCCAAACCACTCTATGATTCTATGATTGTACAAATGAAGCATCATGCGAACATGGTGGGTTTACATAGCTGATGTGGAGTTACATATTACAGTGTCCTCCAAATTGTTAGCAAACAATTCCTCAGGGGACTCCACCAACAAACCTACGCTATTTTGACTTCTTCATTGCAGAAACCTCAATTTCTCTTCTTCATAGATTCCAGAAAAGAAAAAAAAAAAATAAATCGGTCAACAGAAGAAAAACCAAGTCCCTTTAGTATTTCATTTTTAATTTCAATCATAAATTGCTTGCAAATCACATGAAGTTTTAAAATCTATTCTGTCCTGAAATGCAAACAACTTAAATTTTAAAAGGAATTACAATGAATAAAAATTACCTAGTAAAATCTTTGTCTACTTCATATTCATATTTCATCCATGTGTCCCGATACACCGTGAACTCCATTATAGTCAGGAAAGCTATCGTTGTAAATGCTATCAGAGAAACTGAGCGGGCAAAAGGGAAAAAAAATAGTTTAGATTGTGAAAAGTATTATTCAGAAACGTAAGCAGAACAAAATTCTAACATTCCAGAATCTGAGCATTACCAGAACAATACTGGCATCTTTGATTTATACATCCATAAACTGCTCTTAGAAAAAGGTTTTCGTGTCTACTCTAGGTGGTCCTGTCCTGGCAGGAGGGTTGGACTAGATGGTCTTTCAAGGTCCCTTCCAACCACTAACATCCTGTGATTCTGTGATATCTGCAGTATTTGCATTTACACAGGAGGAGAAAAGAACAAGTCCTACCTCAGCATCAAGGAAGAAGTACTTTTACTTTAAGTACAGTCAAATACTAGAATGATGGGGAGGTTGTGAAATCCCTGGAAGATTTAAGAACAGGCTAAATCCTCCTCCACATATAAAACAAAGTGCCCACAAATCTCTGTCAGGGATGGTCTAGGCAAACTCAATCCTAAATTCAAGCATGAAGGAATGAGGAGATGCACCCTGAAGTCCCTTCAAGCCCCTACTCGTATACAACCTAAGCTTTTGTAAAAAAAAATTTTATATCTACTTTTAGAGCCAAGACGAGAAATAACATGCATTATATGCACTGTTCAGTGAGAAAAAGGTTCCCTGATCGTATTACTTGTGGACAGCTGCAGAGTCAGGACTCCAACCCCAATATTTCAAACAATTCTCCCTGTGGCAGAAAGCAACACGTAGCTATCCATTCTACCAAGAGCTAAATAAGTGAAGAACTGATTTGAAATTATTTTTAGGAAGAAAACAAATTGGTATGTTTTAACGGTGTATGTGTCTCACTTATCTCCAAAGCAGCCTGTTCATCACTTGTGAAGTTGTACAACGCAAAGGGAAGTTCATCCTGCTGCACACAGTCAGAAACATAGCAGTACATGCACAGAAGCACCTGCTACACCCCTTTTATTAAATCGTGGCTTTTGCTAAGAAAAAAACAAACAGTTATGGAGCACAGGAGGGATTTGTACAGCTTATTGACAGTACACGTTTTCCACCTGCATCCTGTGGAGTCTGTGAAGGGCAACTTGAGAAGAAACAAGCCCATTGCTGATAGGCCTCAATTCACTACACAGAGTTCTACAGCCCTGAGGTGGCAGCAGGGGAATAAAGGCACTGTCCTACGGGAGCAGAAAAGGAACCACTGGCTGCAGCACTGACTGTTGCACTCATCAGCAACACTGCAAGTTCCAGCTTCCAGCTGAAGCTATGTGACCGTCATATATATGAATACCTTCATGCCAATGCATGCCATGAAAGCAGATGCACCAATCAGCTAATTATTCTGGATATCAATTTCCTTTTGGAGCCCAGGAGGCCAGACTCACCCCAGCTATGCAACAGGAAAACTGGAGCCATACTGCCTACCCAAAGGCACACAGAAACAATTAGAACCATAGTTGCTTTCTGGGTAATTGTGAGCAAAGGTACTTTTGACTCTGAACAGAAAAATAAAAGTCTTGCAGAATTTCCAAAGAGAGATCCTCTTTTCTGAAAGCTCTCCCAGAGTTGGAGTCTCAGCCTGTTTGAGAGACCAGTACTTCTTTTGCAATTGGTTTGAAGGCACTGAAAGTCTGAAAACAGTCTTGGTATGTTTTGCATTCCTATCACACCAGAAAGTAAGCCTGGCACTTTAATCCTGAATGAAATGGGAAAGCTACATTCAGATTTTCTAATGGCATAGGATCAGACAATCCTATATTGTCATTTATAAGGTTACTGAGGTAAACCAAAGAATGCTACAGCAACTTCTGGTGTCAAGAAATCCTTAAGGCACCCTGCACAAAAGTGAAGTTCTCATGAAGGATGGTGCTACACGAAAAAAAAAAAAAAAAAAAAAAAAAAAAAAAGGAGTTTTGAAGCATTTCTTGGTTTTCTGCGAATTACAACATAAAACCAACTTGCTTACTCAGGAACTGGGACTAACATTAACAAAGAGTTGTCTAATCAGCTCTTAGAGAATTTTATATACAATAATCCTTTAATTATTAACAGTGCAATTCAGGAAACAGCAAAGTAATACAGAGCCTTGTGATATTTACTTCTACACTGCAAGTGGCATAATGACTTCAAAGGCTTATCTGTAGATCGCAATTGCTTGTACCTTTTATTCAATGGAGTCTCAGACATAATTGTACACGAGAGAGATTTTTGTCCTTCATTTCAAGCTAACTGCTAGCAGTTTCCTATCTAACTGCAAACAATTCCAACAGTCCAACAGATCATAAAATCATAGAATAGTTTGGGTTGGAAGGGACCATTAAAGGTCACCTAGTCCAAGCCACCTGCAGTAAGCAGGGACATCTTTAGCCAGATCAGGTTGCTCAGAGCCCTGTCCAACCTGACCTCAAGTGTTCCCAGGGATGGGGCTTCCTCCACCTCTCTAGGCAGCCAGTTCCAGTGTCTCACCACCCTCACAGTAAAGAATTTCTTCCTAATATCTAATCTAAACGTGTCCTCTCTCAGTTTGAAACCATTACCCCTTGCCCTATCACTGCACTCCCTGATCAAGAGTCCCTCCCTACCTTTCCTGCAGGCCCCCTTTTAAGTACTGAAAGGCCTCTAGAAGGTCTCCCTGGAGCCTTCTCTTCTCCAGGCTGAACAACCCCAACTCTCTCAGCCTGTCCTCACAGGGGAGGTGCTCCAGCACCCTGATCATCTTTGTGGCCTTCCTCTGGACCTGCTCCAGCAGGTCCATGTCTTTCTTGGGCTGAGGACTCCAGAGCTGGAAACAGCACTGCAGGTGGGGTCTCACCAGAGCAGAGTAGAGGGGGAGAATCACCTCCCTCGACTTGCTGGCCACACTGCTTTTGATGCAGCCCAGGATGCGACTGGCTTTCTGGGCTACAAGCACGCATTGCTGGCTCATGTTCAGCTTTTCATCCACCAATACCCCCAAGTCCTTTTCTGCAGGGCTGATCTCAGTCCCTTCATCTCCCAGCCTGTACTGATATTGGGGATTGCCCCGACCCAGCTGCAAGACGTTGCACTTGGCCTTGTTGAACCTCACGAGGTTCACATAGGCCTGCTTCTCAAGCTTGTCTAGGTCAGATGAAGTCACTATTTCCAGATCAGGCTATCTCTATCCCAACCCAACTTAAAGGCACATTTTTCTGTTCAGCTGCATACAAAAAGGTACTTCTTACAGCTACAGCTTTTTGAGAGAAGTTCAAGTGACTAATAAGGACAGTGCAAGCACATGCCCCAGATTAGTGTTTAGTTTTAGATTACTGTTTAGTTCTTCAAAGGTCTTTCCTTAATCTTAAAATCAACTACACCTTCAAGACAAAAAGCTTTAGAAAGCTGCTCTTCATCCTGATGCTTGTCTTAGCCAGCTTTTAAGACACCTCTGGAGAATGTCTGTCCTCTTCTATGAAAAGCATAGAATTGAATCCCACCTGCATTTGATCTCATGCTGACACAGTCTCACCCCAAAACCTGACACAGAGAAAAGGGCTTAGTAAGACAACAAATGAGAAAGTGTTATTACAGCCTTGGCACAGTGCGCTCCCGTGGTAATTGGTTAGAAGTTTTTATAGTGAACCTTTACATTGGTTTGAGTCTCACCAGTTTTACACAAATGTCTCCCTTCAGATGAGTGATGAATGCATCTATTTTGAAAAGATACTGAGTCTTTACCTGAAGGAGATGAACTCTGCCACTCCACAAAAGAAATCAAGAAACCAGTTTTGCCTAGTTTCAAATGAACACAGATGCCCATCTTCCTCCTATTCCAAGTTCGTATTCCCATGCATGCTAGACTGAGCTAACAGCCAACATGAACCATGTCAGCATCTCAGTAAGGCCTACCTGTGCCTCCACTTGCTGAAGTCTCCACATAGCTTTCAGGAACCTTTGGAAAGGCATCCAATTCTTTCATCAAATTCAAGGTCTTCTTCCGATTCAGTCGCCTCATCTTCAGCACAATCCTCCACCTTCTCCTTCATATATTCCCTCTGAGAATAAATGGTTGTGATTAAAAGGCACAAGCAACATTGCTCGAACTGACTGGCTATAATAATAAAACAATAATAAGGCAATTAAAACCTAAGAAATATGTTTTCAAGAAACAGCCAGATGGTCACTCTTCCATCAAGAAAACTGTTAACACTGACTGGGACACTGCTGCTTACATTCCAGCCACATCCAGCACATTCACCATTTAATTACTATGATAAATTTCTTTCTCAATTAAATTCTTATTAGTATTGGATACACTGAATTTTAAATTAAAAAACCAAACTCAGTCCTGAAGTAAGCTTGCTAAACAGACCTGACAATGCATGGAAGTCACTGACTTAGCAGGGAATATCTAATGGGCTGCATAAACTCAGGAGGATGTCAAACTGCTCGGGCTCCTACACACATACTATATGCTAAAGGAAAAAAAAAAAAGTGTATTTTTCATTTTTACAGCTGTAGAATTTTATGGTCATAATAATCAGCTTTTGTTTCCTCTATAAAAATGCCCCCCAATGCAAATTAAGTATCAAATCCTAGCTCCATCCTTCAGAATCCTTTTCATCCATGACACAATCTCTGATCCGCTTGGAGTTGTTGATACGTTAAGCAGCAGGATGCAGAGAGAAGCAGCCTGCCCAGGAAATACTGTCTTAAACTGTTTCCAAATCATGCAAATATGCTCACAACCTGGTCCCACTGACATGCTGTGTGTTTTAACAAGTTGGCACTGCTGTCTTCTTTCTGAGGAACTGCTGCACTTAGCCCAGAATTTCTGAAGCTACGAAAACCATCATGCATTTACTGTATTCTGAGGCTACATCATATTATCATCCCCTATTTAAAGACACGAAGGCAGGCGAACTAACCTACACTGCCAGCATGCGAGACTCTCCTCATCATACTCTTGTAGAAAAACCTGTTAACTCATCTCCCCTGTTTCAAGAGCGCATCAAGTCTCCAGCATGTCCTAGTGAAATCACTCAAGAGCTGTTCCCTGCTCTGCCCCTCCCTGGTGCTGAGCAGACTGTGCAATAACAAAGCAATAGGCTTTACTGGAAATGGAGTTCCCACGTGAAGAACCACAATCTATGCCTGCAATTTTCTCACTATGCAAACTCGCTTCAGACCTTAGTGAGAAGATACAGACTCTACACTTGGAGGGAGCATCAGTCAAGTCAGCCTGCAGAGACCAACAAAACAAACTGCGTGTGTCGCAGGGGATTAACGAAATCACAGTTAAAGTGGGCAGAGAAGACGCGTGCTGGAATAGAATTTTGGTCATACAGAATCAAAAAAAAAAAAAAAAAATCAGGGAAGCAAGGTCCTGTCCTTACTACGCTACACAACTGTGTTTTAGAGAATCATCTCAACTCCAGTCAGAGCAGCTTAAGGAAAAGCTAGAAAACCAGAGCGCAGATACGGCAAAGCAGCTGCTTGGACACAGCGACTGGAGCCATAACAGTCGTTAGCACAGAGGGAACACCGGATGGGGCTGCCTGCTATCCTACACGCTGCAGTCAGCCATGCCCTGTTTCATTCTACCACGCGTGCAGAAGCACACCGTAAAGAGGTGCAAGACAGACTGAAAGAACTGGAGGGCAATTTACTACAAAACTTTCTAAATCATCCTGCATCCGTACGTGGATTTTTTGTCATCTAGCTATAAGCGTCCGATTTGTTCATTTGTTTCTTTAATCCCAAATACACAGACTCACTTTCTGTTACAAACTGAGACACCGGGCACCTTTCTCCCTGCCCATCTTAACGTAGGTACCTCAGAAACACCAAGTATACTATTTGGAATCCACTGCTAGGAAAGTAACGCACTATGAACTCAAGAGCCAACCACGTTAAAGAACATTATTATTACAAGCTAAAAAAAATTTAAAAGCACAGTGCCAGCGCCACTAGAGACCAGAGCACCGAAGCGACCTGCGACCCAGACCCACCCGCGGGGCTCGGGCAGTCCTCGCTCACTCGCCAACTTGGAAGCGAAGCCATTACGGGCGCCGGTGCGCGTCCGAACATCCACCCCCACACCGGCGT